ATGATCATCAAAGCAACTGACTTTGTTGCTTGCATACAACTTTATGCGACTCTCAATTAATCTTACGCCCCAGTTTTACGGTCTGCATTATAAATTATGGAGTGCTTATATGTATGTTATAGTAAACCTAAGACAGGAGCCAAGATAGTAAAAGAGGTCGAACTGCAAGTACAAAATTTACTCCTCCCTTAAAACTGATAGCATCGGAAATTTCTACTTTTGCCAATTTAGCATTAAAGTAGGTCCTTTTACGTAGGAACTAAAGTCAATTTTTAGAATTAAAGATTCATGGGAGGAGTACAAAAAATTTAATGTCATCAAAGTAGGTTGTTGCTGGTCTATGTAGGTGTATAGATCAGCTAAGTAGGTGTAAATTGTCCTTAGAGGTGTCAAAATAGTACCAAAATTTCGACTCGGGTAGCTTGTAACTTTTTATAAATTATTTTCACGACGGTACGCGTAGGCACATATTGCGGAGTGTTTCGTAGTTTTTAGCAGACTCAAAAGTAACAAAATTGAAATAGAAAACCCGGGTTTATCACGTCAGAAAATTCTATTGAAACTTTATCCACACGCAGTTCGCGAACTACGTTTCAATCGCTTCTGTTTCCACCGCTGTAGACATTTGCCCGTTCGATACGACGGCGAACACGGTGAGTTAAGCCGATCTCCGTTCGGTTAACACTCTTATCATTTAACTCTAGGAATTCGTGCCCAGGCACGATCCCCTAAAGCGCGTGCATTTGCATACATTTAAGCTGTGCGCGACCGCGTACGGGTCGCATCTTGGAATCATCCGCGGGGATTCCACGTGCTGCAATGCCGTAGAGATACAAAGTTATAGGTACCGTACGACGCAACTGCGGGGCACGCAGGTGGTAGATTTTCCGATCGGTCCCCGCGTGCGTGCGTGCGTGCGTGCGTTCGCGCGCGCGCGTACGCGGCCACGATCTGTTCGTCGCCGTCGCCGTCTTCGTTGTCGTCATCGGGTGAGGGGGGGAGGGGACTTTTCGCGGACGAAGGGGCCGCGGGGCCCCGTTCGTCGATTGTTCACGACGCAGCACGCGTAGCAATGAAAGCTCGACGGCACGAGTAAAAAGCCTGTGAGGTAGACATAAATAAATAGGTAGTGGGTGTGGTTGGTAAGGCCGCACACATGGCGTCGTGACCCGTCGTCTCCGTTCGTGAGCTCGAGGCCAGCTCGAGTTATGCCCCGCGGAATGTTGCTCCCGCCGCGCGCAAGCGAGCGGGGCCCAGCAAGCTCTTTCGGTATCGCGGTTAAACGCAGTTTCGCCTGCACTTGTCCCCTGCCTCCTTGAATTGCATTCCTTCACGACCTCGCGTTTCTACCGAAAATCTAGGGGGCCGGTTCCGCCGTCACCGATTAATTCAATCGGCCGATTGAACTGCGGTCCCATTGTAGCTGACCAATCGCGCTTCTCGTACGCAGAATCGATGTATCACGGTCGACGCTTAATCGGCCGATTAGAGTAATTGGTGACGGCGGAACCCATAGACACACAGTGAATATAGACTGGGGCCGGTATTCATAGTCGATTCTTGTTTCAAAATCGTCCCAAGTGTTGTCTTAAGGGGCTAATACAGCTCTGCGATTGGTTGAAAACACATTAAGAGTATACTTAAGGTGATCTTAAATATAAGAACGGACTATGAATACCGGGCCTGAGCGTCCCATTGAATAAGCTGAAGCTTGTCAAGAGAAAGACAGAGAAGATTTAAGAAGACCTTCTGTCTCACCATCGTGACAAGGGAGAATCACGCCCATAGACATGGTAAATATAGACTGAGCGTCCCATTGAATAAGCTGAAGCTTGTGAAGAGAGAGAGAGACAGAGAAGATTTAAAAATCTTTCTTTCTCTGTCTCACCATCGTGACGAGGGAGAATCACGCCTGTGTAGCACTGCGCAGGCACGACTGTTTTCTTTTACGATGGTGTAAGACAAAGAAAGAAAGTCTTCTTAAATCTTCTCTCTCTCTCTCTCTCTCTCTCTCTCTCTCTCTCTCTCTCTCTCTATCTCTCTCTCTTCACAAGCTTCAGCTTATTCAATAGGCCGCTCATTCTATATTTACTATGTCTATGATCACGCCTGTGTAGTACTGCGCAGGCAAGATTCTTTTACGATGATGTAAGACAGAGAAAGTGAGTCTTCTTAAATCTTCCCTCTCTCTTTCTCTCTTCACAAGCTTTAGCTTATTCGATGGGACGCTCAGTCTATATTTACTATGGCTACGTTTACACGTCACCCTTAATCGGGTTTGATAACATCTGTAGTTATAAAACTGGCCAATCACAGCTACTCCTCAGAAGGATGGAATGACTGCGATTGGCCAGCCCCTTAACTACGGATGTTGTTAAACCCGATTAGGGTGCCGTGTAAACATAGTCTATGGCCGGTATTTATAGTCAGAATTTATATTCAAGACTGTCTTAAGATCATCTTTAGATACTCCGTAGCCAATGAAATGTTCCATACAGCATCTTTAGATGAATTCAAGACGGTCTTGAATGTATGATCTGACTACGAATACCGGCCTGTGTCTATGGTGGAACCGATCCTGGGAAATGTACGATTTTCATTCGACGGCGGAGGAAAAGTCGAATTTATCCGCGATGACAGATAAATAAGTAAAAACGCTCGCAAACGTTACGCAATTACGAAAGATCCTCGTTCAAAGAACGAGGCTCTTTCGGACGTTTACGAACCGTAACGGGGTCAGATTGGGGTTCCGTATAGCGTGCGACGATCGAGGGTTGATCCGGAAATTCAGGAGTATACGAGCGTGTGTGCGCCGTGCAACGCCGTTCATGACTTAGCACGGTGCTTGGCTTTGGCGGTTGAGGCTGCCGATGTACAATGCCGCATTGTTTCGCCGTTGCCATCTTACTCGGTAGCACACAAACTGACGCCGAGCTAATGTTTATTATCTTCTCTTTCGCGTAGCACAAAACAAAATATCCCGGCATTATATTGTCCGCGCTGCTGGCGAGTTCGTGCACGAATCAATCTCCCGTATAAAAAATCCGGGAGGCCGATACCCCGCATCGTATTTTCAGGCGGCGCGCGAGGCAACGTGAGTATAACGAGCCGTCGGGTTTGTGCAACTCGTAGGAAACGGATGTTTTAGAACAGATAAACGGATGTGTGCCGTGTTGCTGGCAGCGTTATAATGCTAGACAATCGTCAAGGAATACGTTGGCACACGGAGAGAATTTTCTCTTCGAATTTACCCTGAAAATCATGTAATCGTGGGACAACGTGGCATTTCGAAGAATTTAATTAAAGTGTTTTTGAAATTTTACCATACATTTTACCAGTCAATTTTACTAGTATGGTAAAATTTAAAAAAAAAAACTTTCATTAAATTCTTCGAAATGCCATGTTGTTCAATGATTAGGTGATTTTCAGGGTAAATTTTAAAGAAAATTCTCTCCGTGTAGGACATGGCATTTCGAAGAATTTTATGCGAGTGATCTTATGAGTATGGTATGATAAAAGTTTGAGAAACTTGTATAAAATTCTTCAAAATGCCGTATTGTCCCACGATTGAAAAACTTCATGAAAGTTTTACGAAATTTTACCATACATTTTACCAGTAGTTATACCTAGCGTACATTTTACTAGTAAAATGGTATGGTAACATTTCAAAGTACTCGTATAACATTCTTCGAAATGCCGTGTTGTCCTACACGGATTGGATCTTGGTATCTCGATACCTTCAATTGTATTTCCGTATTACATCTTACTATTTTTGTAAAAAGATCTGACTATTTTGGTTTGTCACATATTTTACTAGCAATTATACTTAGAATTAGTATAGTTTTTTACTAGTATGGTAGGGTAAAATTTCAAAAACGCATAAAATTCTTCGAAAGGCCGCGTTGTCCCGCGATTTTCAGGAAAAATTGTAAGAGAAAAATCTTTCGCGGTGTAGCATTGCAAGAAAAGATATCTGAAGAGAAAGAGAAAGAAATGATCTAGATGCCGCGGCGAATAAGAGCGAATACGAATGCGAAGTGAAATATCGAGGCTCGCACGACTGACGTTTCACGCGCATTTTCCTTCGCGTCCTACATACGATTCGAAAGAGGTCATCCATCCACCTCTCGTACGAGCCAGAGGTTTCCATTTTCATGGATGGCCGCCGCCCGGCTCGCGCGCCCGCGCGTACACGTCACGATTTTATTTTCGTCGCCAGCAATGCGACTCGCGTATTTCGCGAAACAATTATTTATACAGATCCCTCGTATGGAAAGTTTCCTTTCTCCCGAAAGCGGCAGACGAGGCGAGGAAGTATAGTATCGCGACGCAGAGTTTCGTTGTGCCAACAGTGAAAGCTGCTGATCTCTGATCAGCCTTGGCACGATTAGATGCGAATCGAATTCCGCGTCTCGCGATGCGCCAATCTTCTGCTCTTCGCGCGACATGGAAGAGGAGAGAAAAAAAAGAGGGAGGGGGAGGGAGATTGGAAAGAAGAGCCGCGTATTGGCGGGGGAGAACTGCGCAGAAAGAGAGAAATAGCTTTCTTATTTCCATGAAAATTGCGTTCGGCGATTTCGACGACAATACCATTCCGGTGTTTTAAATGCAAATCCACAAAAGGAAAAACCGTAAAGGCATTATAATTTATATTACTACATGTGGCAGCGGCGCTTCCGGCGAAAGAGCATAGGCGCAGTTCCGGTCAGCCCCACGGGTTGGAGAGATCCTACATCGCCAGATTATGAGCCCACCGCCGCTTTTACAATGGATCGTCCGCCTCTGAGTCGTACGTCAGCAAGAATAATTCTGCGTTACCGCCGCTCGCGCTCGTCTTGCCGGCAAAATAATACAAACGATCGCCGAAGGGCGCGCGGCCTCACGCGCTACAAATATAAAAACTGCTTTTTCCCCCCCATTGTCTACTGGGATAAATAATTTTCTTGCGTCCTTATAGATCTTATCGACGCCTATTATCCGATCTTAATATAATTATTATAAGCCGCGCGCTTAGGGCGAAGGGATAGGTGGTGTGCGCATTGCGTGGTTAACTCATAATTATATTTCTCGATTCTCTACGATACATTGGTGACGCTGGTGACAGACAGGGTACAGGCGAAACGGAACAGGTATGCCCAAGACAAACTACGCCAGAAATTGACCGTTTTTTATGAATTCCACAATCGCCTGGACGGTGCTCTGGAAGCGCACGAAGTTCTCTCGGCCGTCCTCGGGGGACTTGGACTTGTAGATAGCGTTCGTGTACGCCGAGGTCAATTCGGACACCAACATCTGCGCCTTTTTAGCGGCCGCCTCGATCGATCCTGCGGGCGTCTTAATCTCCTCCGCGGTCCTCACGATTACCTCCTTAATGATCTCGACGAGCTTCCCGTCGTCCTTCGCGCTCGAGTCCCCGCTCGAGATCTTCTGCAGGGTGTCCTTGATGGCCGCTGCGTTCGCGTCTTGCGATCAAACAAGATAAAGAGGCGATCTGAGATGGTCGTCGATTAAAATCTCACATGTAATTCTAGCGATAATTAGTCTTTAACCAACTTGATTCGGTACGATTATATATATCTGTCACCTGCGGGCCGCGTGGGCGTTTCCCTAATTATCCTCTGGGAATGCGCGAGAGTGCACGCCAGCAGGACGACCGCGACGACTGCGAACTTTGCCATCTTCGGGAATCGCATCGAACAGCAAACTGTCAATCGGTTGTCCAGCCGCGCTCTCTCTCTCTTTATATGAATGCATGTCCCCGCGAGCGTGCGTCGAGTAGGGATGGCATTATGTAAAATGTAATTTGCCGTTGGCCGGTGTACGCGGTCGTTGACCATTATAAATGATTCTAATGAGTGTCATTAAAAAAGAAGACGCGCGGGAGAAAGTGGAGCGCCGCAAACGGCATGTTTCAAGAAAGTATGCTTTGTTTTGATTTCTACCCGTTGACAACCGGAAGAAATTAGCTCGTGTAAGACAAGTGTTAAGCGAAGCATCTTCCCTTAATTACCCGTGCGATTTTCAACTGGCGAAACGAATGTCAACTCGTACACGGAGAGATTTTTCTCTTAAAATTTATCCTGAAAATCGTGTAATCGTGGGGCAACGTGGCATTTCGAAGAATTTTACGAGAGGTTTCTTGAAATTTTACCGCACATTTTACACTTAGTATACATTTTACTAGTAAAATGTGTGGTAAAATTTAAAAAAACTCGTAAAATTTTTCCAACTGCCATGTTTTTTGAAATTTTACTACACTGGGGAAAATTTTCATCGGCTAAACCAATTAAATAGTGTTTTCGATGGTTAATCTTTCCGATTAAATTATGGATACATCCGATGAAATGCAATTACCGATGAAATTTGATCGAAAAACCGATCACATTTTTCGTCGGAAATACAATTTAATCGGACATATCCGTTCGTTATTGTGTAATTATGGATTATATTTAATCGGACATTTTTCTCAGTGTAATCAGCTTTCTTTGTTTTGCATGTAAAAATCTATTGTACGACGCAAGCTCCCTGCGAAATTATGGACACGTTGTCGCGATCGCGCGATCGGAAGAAGCGAGAGGAGGTTTCGACCGGAAACGATCGAGTGTTCTTTGTCAGCGAATTGCGGGTCGCGTAGCAAGTTTTTCTCAACCGAGCGGCAATCGTCGTAAAAGCGCTGCTGCAATTTTTCGTTGCAGTCTCCTATGCACGTCGCCGCGATACACGCAATTCGACTCGACACGACGACGCGCTCAACAGGTCGGTCGTCCGCGGTCTGCCCCTCCCTCCTTCAAAAAATGCAGGGGCAATGCCGATACTGGCCGACGGTAAAAGTGCGTGAACACAGGGAGGGAGTGCATCCAGCCATGATTCCTCCTCACCGATTTTTACCCCCTTCTTGTCCCTTTCCGCGCGCCTCGTTCTCTTCCCTACCCCTGACGTTACCTTGACGCGTCGCGTCAAATTAAAGGCTGCCGACTCGCTTTCCACCTGAGAAACGATTCAAATCTCCCGCGGCGATTCGCGACAACGGCGCGGCGTCGCGAGTGCCCGCCGGGCCTGTGTCCCGAACGGAGGCGAGATAGGTTTGTTTTCCGTTCCTGCACCGGTGAACTTTGTCCGGTATACTAGAATGAGAAAAAATACGCTTGTCTTACTCTAATTTATTGCACTAGTTCACTAGTGTAGGAACGGAAAGCAAGAAAAGCGAGAAAGGCAAAAGGGAGAACGAAAATCGGCTGGGAAAATCGCGGTCGTCGCGAAAACGCGACGTCTAGCCGGCGACTCTCCGCGTTGCGTAGAGACTCGCAGGAAAGCGTACCTTAATGCGGGATGAATGAAAATACGGGTGCTTGAGTAAGCTTAAATTACATTTCATTCATGCAGGAAAAGCAGACACGCGGGAGTCGTCCTTCCGGCTCGCGTTGCGCACGTATCGCAGGACGGCGGGCTTGCACGTAATGACGACTGGACTATAATGTGTATTATCCCGACATCCTGTGCGACGGCGGCGGCGGCTTCTTGTGCGTTTCTCTCTTGCGTCTAGGGTAACCGGCCCTTGCGGTTACGACAGCGATTACAATCGCGGAGGCGACCTTAATTTTTGTGCGAACGCTCGCCTTTCGCAGCGCTATACGGCAACACTCTCGCGTCCATTTCTGCCTCTTATTGCGCCCGTGCGCATCGCAGGACGCTCGCACAAATGTCTTATTGACTGTCCGATCACGCGAAGCCCAGGTCGTTGCGTAAGACCTCGCTCGAATAACGCCCCAATTTTTCCGACGTACAAAGAGAGGCGTCCGAGCGGAGACGCGAGGGCGAAATATCGATCGCACGTATCATCGATCACGATCTTATCTGGCGCACGGACGTGGGATTCACGTCGGCTGGCGATGACGAGGAAACACGAGGGGCCCCGCGTGTATCGTGAACAGTACAGTGTATCGCTCCGGTACCGCGCGATCCGCGATCACAATGAGAGGCCCGTGATGCGGGGCGACCAAGAGGATCTTCCATCTCCGCGAGGGGGGGAGGTGAGAAGAGAAAACCAGAGCGGATCGACGGACAGTCTTTATTCTCGCGTCGGCACCGGACAACGGTGGAAGCGACGTGGGCCTATTATGGGCCCATATCGCGTGCGGCACGGCGATCGGTGCCGACGCGCGGCGAGAGATCCTCGCCGGATCGTCGAGAAACGCCGGCCCGCGGATCGCCCGTGGACGGGCCCAGGGCTGAATGAGGCCCCAACGTGTTCATCTCGCGCTCGGGGGATTATGGCGAACGCGGGGCGCCGCCGAAGATCGACAGGGCCGATTACGTCCGCGGTGACTTTAAGCCGTTTTAAACGCTGCCATTCAACCCGGACGGCCGGGCCCCCTGACCTCGGCGCTCGCGGTGCGCCGATTTGGCGTCTCTCGCCGGGTCCTTTCTTACATTTTGTCTGGCACAATGCCGCGCTCCACTCCGCGGACGGCCCGCGACCCGGAAGTCGGGCGAGGAACCGCGAGTGACAACCCTTGATCTCTTCGCAGAGTCTCTCTCCGTCGCGGAAATTAAAAGATCCGCCGTTTCGTCGTTTCGCTGTTACGTCAGATTCGTCGCTCTTGTGACGATTACCCGTTTCTGAATTTCGGTGCTGCCACATCCGAGACGCTCGGGGAGGACTAGTTGGAATAGATTCCGGTGAAAGACCCGTCCGACTTAGAGAACGGGAAACCGAGATTCGGCACGGCCTGTGGGGGTTCCGCTTGATCAAACCGTGCGACTCTCACATGCAATCGCGGGGATCCGTGAAAAACAATTCCATGAAATTAATAAATCTATTCTCGGGGGGGACCTCCTACGACGCGGGCGACTTTTTAGGGCGACGCGGGCGATTCCGCGAAACGTGGGTGATCCAATTAGGCGCGGCCGCTCGGAAAAAAAAGAAGGAAAGGCGGAGGGAAGGGGAAAAAAATCGTCGCGGTCACGAATGTTATCCGTTTACGCGCAACAAGATAAATTAGCACGCTTTTTCGCGCCAAATGAATTTCGCGGCGGAACAAGATCCGGCTTCGGGCAACGCGGCTGACAAAAATAGTAAACAAACTTAGAAACAGCGGGGCGCAGGAGCCGAGGACGGGATTAAGAAGACCGCGTCCTCACCGAGACGCCGTGGTTTTACCACCCGTCGATCGATCTGTCGCCTGATTTCTCCTCGCAGCATCGAGTCACGGTGCTTTTTGCCGGCGTCGCCGCGCGGCACACTGTGAACTGGCGGCGGTTTCCCAGATGTAGAAATCCCCGTCTTCCCATTTCGTCGAGGAGCCATAACACAATGGCATGCCTAATCAGAAAAAATCACGACGCTTCGAAAAGGCAAAACACTTCGCGCCTGTTCACGACGGCTCGATTCCGCTCGGCGAAATAATCCGCGTAACGACGTGCTTTCCACCGATTGACATTTACTTTTTCTACGCCGCGCGGCGGCAGGTAGAAAGGGAGGACGCGGCGCCCCGGATTTCCTTCCGATATTTCGTGTAATTAGGCTGCTTTACTATTATTCGCGGTTCTGCGAACTTTCACCGCGAACCCAGCGCGGCTTCGACCAAAGGGGTTAGCGCTTCGTGTACACTGATAAAAAAAATATCTTAATCCAAGGAAATATTGCTTTACTTGAGAAAATTATTCATTGGGTGGGTCCTAATAGCTTATTAGCTTAAATTTAAAAAATTATAAACAAATTAAAACATGCATTTCTTTAATTTAAGTATTTATTAAATATCAAACAGTAGATAATTTTAAATAAAAAAATTTCACTTTAATTCTATAAAATATTTACTAAGATATAAGTTTTAGTTTATACAGGGTGAGTCTTTCCATATCCGACAAAATTTTTGAGAAGGTAGAACGGATCGAGATGAACGGAAAAGTCCTGTACCATTTTGCAATTTTCGTAATAGTTAACGAGTAATTAATTATTAAAAATCGTTGTCTTAAGCCGGCCTACTGCCCAATTCGAGCGCGTGGCAAGATGTGACCGCCCGGCGATCGATATTGCTATGCGCACATCTCGCCACGCGCTCGAATTGGGCGGTAGGCCGGCCTAAGACAACGATTTTTAATAATTAATTACTCGTTAACTATTACGAAAATTGCAAAATGGTACAGGA